TGGGCATAAAGGATGCTCATTTCAGCAGAGCAAGATTAGTCCTGGCCCAGTGACCTGTCAGCATAGTTTGGACTAATTGAGAAACTGGGTGAGCTGGATTCTGAAGGTGACATCTTGATGCTGGAACTCAATTACATGTGGGGAGACAGAAAAAGAAGAGGGATCAGAGCAGCAGTTATGTAATTGGCTCAAGTAAGTTAAGAGCAGTGCTAGGATTAGAATGTGGGTGTCCTAGTTTCATGCTTTTACCTTTGTCTTACAGCAAAGACAAAATATCCAGCTGAAATAACCATGCTGTAGAAAGGCATGATTGATTTTTTTCGGCTATAATATTCAAGATATATCTAGATCCACGCAAGTTTCTGAGACCCTGGAGATATTTGCAAATAGAAAGGTCTTGCTGGGACAAGACCTATTTGATATTTTAGGGCAGAGACACACATTTTCCACTCAGGCTGCACGGTAGAGTCAACTGGAGTGCTATTAAAACTATGAATGTGGGACTTCCCTGGTAGTGCAGTAGCTAAGACTCTGCATTCCCAATGCAGGGGGCTTGGGTTCAATTCTTGGTCAGGGAACTAGATCCCACATGCTACATCTAAACATCCCACATGCCACAATTAAGAGTTTGCATGCTGCAACTAAAGATTCCATTTGCTCCAACTAAAAGAACCCTCATGTTGCAACAAAGATCAAATATCAAAGATCCCATGTGCCACAACTAGGACCCAGTGCAGAGAAATAAAAAAACAAAACAAAACTATTAATGATGCCAGAGGAATCCCTCTCAAAAAATTCAGACTGCATTGATCTGGGATGGAACTCAAAGAATTAATGCATGCAGCATCCAATAACTATTTGTACAGTTGTCTCCCGACTGTAAAGAAAAATAAAAAAGGGGGGTGCACATTCTAGGCAAAGGTAATTCCTGAACCTGCCATTGATTAATGTGTGACCTCACTTAATCTCTTTGCTTCGATTTTCTTTTCTAGAAAACACATGTCTTTACTCCTTATAGGATTACCATGTGGATCCAAAGATAATGCAATGTAAACTAAAGATTATAAACCCCCTAAGGAACTCTACAGACACTGTTATAAGGTCCTTGAGTCTGATGCTGTGTGAATGAGATCTAAGTTCAATGGGGATGCATTCTGTATAAAAGCATTCAAAGATGACAATTATATTAATAGCTAGTTTCTCTAAAACTCATAACAGTGAAAATAATCTCAGAATTACGTGCTCTCGGAAGGCATACTTTCTCTAGCAATAATGTAGTAAGAAGTGTCCACATGTAAAATGCTGCTTCTTCATGTGAATACTCAAGAAAAAGACAGTCCTTTCTTAGTTGTTCATTTCCCTTCACAACAAGGACAAAACTGGAGGAAAGCCTGAGGTGATCATATTTTATCTTAAATTCTTTTAAATATGAAGTTGATAGAAGAGATGTTCTGCCCTTCTGCTTGGGTTTGATGTGGAAATCAAAGTACTCCACCTCAGCAGGGTGAACCTTGGCTGGTTTTGCAGAAAAGGGATCACAGTGGGTGGATCTTCAATCTGGTGCTGCCTCAGAGTCCAATGGAACAATGGTTCTGAGGGACCCTGCCCCAGGCTTATGGAATCCTTGGGAAAGGGCTGGTCACCTGTGGCTCTCATATGCTGCCCTGATGATGCTTCCGCTTCCTGCAATCCCTGGACAGAAGTGAGGAGTGTGGGGGAGTCACAGACATAGCTCAGGGGTTCTCAAACTTTAATGTGCATGTAAAAACCTGGAGATTTTGTTAAAATGTGACTTTGGAGACAACAGGCCCTGTATGGGTCCCAACACTGCCTTTTTAACAAACTTCCAGGTAAGGAAGACACTTCTGGCCCGTGGACCACATCTTGAGGAGCAAGGATCTTGGTGACATATAAAAGGAAGGTGGAAACAAAAACCTCCCTTGGTGAACAGCTCATGGGGATTTCACCTGTGAATAATCTGGTAATTCTAGTATGCTAGGAGGAAGAAGCTCAAAGCACCTCATTTCTGTTCCTATTTAATGAGCAGTTGGTTAAAGATCATGAATTCCTGCTGTCAAATGATCCGGGAGTTGATGGAATGCAAGGTGAAAATTTTGAATCTCCTAAAACTCTATTTCTAATGTGAAGAAGCATCACAGACAACCTCATCATCCACAGCAATTTCTATTTTTTTTTTGGTGTTTGGGTTAAGATTTAATAGGACTGTCTATGCAATGACATCACATCTGAATTTGTACCTATTAACCAAGAGATGACAAAGATGCTATGCATGGTGATTGGCAGAGCACTGGAAATACCTGCTGACTGAATAGGTTTTCAAAGTAGATTAATTGCTGCTCAATTCTTTGGTACCCTAAGAAGGTCTGACACTGCACAGCTTTTGAAATAGGACATAGAACATCCTTTACAATGGATTTCATGCCATTACCCAGTATCCCGCTGATATAATAAAAGGCTGACTCATTTCCTTTCCTCTGCATGATCTGTTACAATAGAAACTGGGATGCCATATGCTGGGTTTAAAATGCTCAGTATGGCCAGCGGCTCTTGGTGATGCTGCCAGCTTTAAGGTGATCACAGCCTAGACAAGCACTGAGAGAGTCACTGCTGGACAGTTTGCATTGGCGGGGGGGGGGTTTGAGTAATTGGGGAGATTTCACCAGATAATCACTGACTCCACAGCCCCAAACTGATGGATGTCTGCGATGGTCTCATACAACCTTCAAGACCCACTTGGTTGTTGTCCCATAAATTGCCTTGCCTTGCCTGCTTTGCCCACAGTATTACTGAGCTCACAGTTTCTAACAGAGCCCATAATGAGAATATTTATTTCCTTGTCTTTCACCATCAAGACTGTCAGGAATGTCAGCATAGCTCAAGAAACTGGATTTCAGAGCTGCTGACTGCTGCCAACAGAGACAAGCAAATTTCAATGAATGTCTACAGAGATTTTTAATCTATTTCTCAGTGGGAAGGGGAAAGTATTCAGGTGCCTCACTGCGGAGAAACACAGCAGCACTTCGTGTGTTTTGCCTTTCCTAGAGATATCAGTATACGGGGAGGTAGTGAGGTATTTTTTTTTTCCCTCAATATGCTATATGATTAATTTTCAGAGTTGCTGCCATGTTGTGAAAGCTTAACGCTGTGAAGGTAGCCTGCGGAAGAAATTAGCAAAGTCTTCCATTCTTATTTTGATCAGATTTCGTACTAAGAGAGCTGTTAGTGTGAGCGAACATCACTTTAAATATGTGTCCAGTTAACTCTTTCCCTCATATAAAGGACAGGATTCCAGCAATGCAAATATAGTTGATAGACATATTTAGTCTTTATTTAGCTATTATTATGTAGTGATAGAACTAAAAAGGATCTGAGAGACTTCTTTTAATCTCTTCATTTAGAGATTAATGAGTGCTGCATAGATAATTTGAACATAATAGTCCAATATGACTACTATATCAGTCTAATAATGATCAGAAACAGAGCCAGGACCAGAACTCATGGCCTGTACTCCACATTTAATGGTTCTGATACTAACTTGGGAGGCAAAAGGAAGTCCTAAAGAATAAACCCACTTCTTCAGAACACAAACTCCTGAAATCTAATCTGGATTCTCTGCCGGTTTCCAGAAACCCTAAAAATTCTATACCCTCCATCAAGACTTGGAAGAGTGCCTGCCTCTTCCACCTGCTTTTGTATTCTTCAGGCCTGAAACGCAAGCCTTGCAGCTGTTTCACTATTAAATAATTGTTATTTGCTGCTAAAAATGTTAGCTAGGGCATTAGGCGTGAAGGAAAGTTAAAACTTTAGAAGAGAGGACAAAAATAAAATGATGTTTTCAAATTCTCAGTTTAAAATATTTTCTTTTTCAATCACGAGTAATGCCAAATGGAAAATTAAGGTAATAACAAGGAGGGCAGATATCAAACTTTACCCAGAAAGACCACAAATGGAGTTCATCAGTCTTGTCAACACAAACTGTCATGGAATCCTAATAAATATCACTATGAAGCTTCCAGAGTACTGAACTCTATGTGCAGTTAGATTGCCCTTTCAGTCATCATTAGTCCTTTTAGTAGACACTGCAAGTTGCCTACACAGCATTTCTCCATATTCTCCCTTATTCAAAATTATGATTATTTTTAGGGCCATCCCACATCTGTATAAAATACTTGAGTTTTGTCTTCTGCCACTGGGGTGATCAATGAAATATACATACAAGTCCTTGGGCAAAGCAAACCTTCCATAATATAAAGGCAATTTACAATGGAGAGACTCCTGACATTTGTCCCGGTCTCTTCTCATTTCTACCTTGGAGCATTGCAAATTCGGTGCCTTAGCCATGCACCCCACCCTCTCCCCCCATAGAAACTTCAGAGAAGAATCAGAGAAAGGGCTTGAGTCCTGGTAGATACTCCTAAGAAGTAGTGCCAACTTTACACTACATAACTTTGGAAGTCTTGTGTATGTGAGGACAACACAAACCTAAATCCATAGAAGCCAGTGTTAGCTTTGTTTTCAGGGACTTGCAATCAAATGCATTCCTAACTGATCTAGTCATTGTGTGTGCTCACAAATTCACCCTGGCTTTTGTGGTCAAGGGACTTTGGTTCTGGGTCTGATCCTTTCACAGACCCACAATGAGATGAAATGAAGCAAGGCTGTCCTTTAATACAAGCAAGTTGGCAGCAGTGCTGGCGATTTACCTACGTGGTTTTACCAAGCAACAGGATTCTGATTTTGATTGACTCAGGTGTCTTTCCCCTTGTGCCAGGTAGACATCAGTGGGATGGATCATTTGCACAATCTGATATTTTCTTATCCTAATTGTGGCAGGGACTGCCAACGATGCTTCCTCCACACAGAGGGACTTTGGGAATCTCTACAAATGACACTGTCCCCCAAGCCGATGCTCACAGGAGAACAATCAGCAAGCAAAATAGCAGCCAGTGAAGCGTGCACATGTTGGTGCACCTAGTTACCTCCAGAATGGGCTGGTGGGCCGCAGAGCAGGACCATCCCCTGACCCTGGCGGACAGACACAGTGCTTCTTGTTCTTGGCTTAAAGTTTTCAAGATCTGTTGAGAGAAATAAAGAAAAAGAGGTTTAAAATTTAGCGCATTATGAGAAGGTAGCATTACTTCAAAAAGAAGGTAAGAGTGTTTACAGCACCCAGATCAGGGAAATTCAACTTAAACTTTTTCTGTGTTATTGTCCCATCCACCTAGATTTTATAGATTTTTATAGCTAGACTGTAAGGTAGCCACTTGGCATATGTCCTTATTTAGATAAAAAACAGTTAAAATCAAATACAACTTATAAATCCAGTTCCTTAGTCACACTAGCTGCATCTTAAGTGCTCAAGGGCCGTGCACAGCCACTGGTTTCCACATTGGACAGTGGACAGAGAGAACGCATACATCAGTGCTGAAAGTTTCACTGGGTAGTACATGTCTGACTGGAGACACCAAGGCTTAACTGGGCTAATGACCTCCCTAGCTTCTATCTGTAATTAAATATATCATAATCAGGATGCAAATTTGCATTTTCTGATAGTCAGTTGCTACTTCACAAACCATTTCATTGTATGCAGTTATATTTCTTACTCTACGTGTATCTAGAATATGCTTCTCTGTGTCGACACACATATGCACACTACATACAATGTGTAAGTAGACATTTATATACATATTTACAGTTGCTTTAGTGTTCCTGGGTGTTTTAAAATATTTACAGGGCACTGCCCAAGGTTCTATTTGGAATAAAATTTCCCTTTCTCAAGAAGATCAACTTTGGTTAAAGAGATAAGACATTTCAAACCTGAACAGTTCAGCTAGAGTCAGTAAATACAGTTACCAATAAAAATGAGTTAATATAAGAAATATGTCTAATAAAGTGAGACACTATTGTTAAAAAAATAGTTTTTCTTTCATCTTTTCAAACATAAATCGTCTCAACAACAATTGCTTTAAGTGTTATTTCCTTTCTTTTCTTTTTTTGGTCTAAAACATTTCATGTAGTAACCTGTTTCTGGATTTGAGGATTATTCTAAACCAAGGATGTTCTGTAGGGCTATAAGCCCTGCATCCATGCAGATCAAACTTCAGTCATATTTATTGACTATTTCCTCCATGCAGGCTATTTTGGCAAGTATTTCATGGTGATTACCTCAAGTGATCCTAACAATAAGAACATAAGTACGATTAATGTTTCCATTTTACAGACCAGAAAAGACAGGCACGGACACTTTTTAAAGGGTAGGTACAACATCAGGAAGTAAAGGAGCTAGGAAGTAAATCTGGATTGCCTTCCTGGAATTAACAGTGGGATGTTTCCAGGCTTGGTTTTAGGGATTGCTCACAATGTTAAATTAATTTATACACATACATGTCTTAATTACTAGATTCTTCTGGTACTAGGCAAATTTTATGCTCATACATTATTGGTTTTTTATCAGTTAAGTATATAAAAATCTGATTGCCAGCTAAGGAAGAAGAACGCTATGAGAAGAATGCTCTGTCCTGTGAGGACTCAAGAGTTTAGTGCACAGGCCTAAGAGATGACATCTAACTGTGGGAACCCAAGGCTGCTGAACTTGAGGTGTTCAGAGGGCCATCTGGAGGACACACATGTACTCAGTGCAAAACAAAACATGACCACAATTTAAGCTACATTTCTTTACCATCTGACCCATTAGGGAAGCCCTAATTTATTTCTCATGTAATAAAATTCTTTTTATTAGGTGAGGCTAGGACATGATTTTTTTTTTCCTTTTCGTTAAAGGAATGGTTTGAGAAGCCTTCAAAATCAAACTACAGACTTAAAAAAAACTTCATTATGGCATTCATATTATAAACCATTATCTCTAAAAATGGCACTGAATCATCTAAATTATTGCTTCTGCATACAGGTTCTTAAAATAAGTCATCTATGTTTTTTCACAGACGTCTTGTCCAATCTCCAGAGTTGCACGAAAACTTAAGAGCTGATGGGTAACAGAGATCAACTCTTATCCAAGCAAAATCCACCTTGATTCTAACTAGAGGAAGAACATTAAGAAATGGGAGGGAAAGAAAATAAAAAATATAAATGATGATTTTTTTAAACTGTTCTTGAGAAGTGAAAGTTGCTCAGTTGAGTCCAACTCTTTGCATGGACTCTATATAGTCCATGGAATTCTCTAGGCCAGAATACCGGAGTGGGTAGCCTTTTCCTTCTCCAGAGGATCTTCCCACCCCAGGGATTGAACCCAAATCTCCCACACTGAGGGAGATTCTTTAACAGCTGTGCCACAAGGGAAGCCTTTAAATTGTTTTTATTGAGCTTAAAAGGGACTTCCCTTGTAGCTAAAACTGGATTCCTGTTTCTTCATTTATAGTTTATGAATCCATGAAGTTCCACAGGATTTGGACAGTTAGAAAAATCACATTAATATGGTATTTGAGAAAATATTTAGATAAGATTCTTAGCAATTAACTGAAATAGATTTCAGATGGTAAATACAATGAACGGAAAGATTGCATTTGGACTGATCTGAGTTTGAAAATCACCTCTGCCATGTAGTACGCAAGGTTTAACTTTCTCAGAAATAACACGAGAGTAAATGTGATTTATTTTAGAATAAGAATGATGGGAAAAGATTAAATGAGTATTAATCATATTTGAAAAGCACAAAGCCTCTCATGCTCCAAGTCTGGGGCTTACTATTTATTTGTTCTGTCCACTTCAGAATATTGTAATCCAGTGTCAAATCATACCTCGATTATTCCATTAAGAAAGGGTTTTGGAACAATCCTGGTAGACCAGTGGTTAAGAATCTGCCTCCCAATGTAGGGGACATGGGTTTGATTCTTGGTCCAGGAAGATTCCACATGCCACGGAGCAACAAAACCTAAACACCACAACTACTGAGCCTGTGCTCCAGAGTCCATACTCCACAACAAGAAGCCACTGCAATGAGAAGCTGATGAAACGCAAGCCCCTGCTCACCACAACTGGAGAAAGCTAGGGCACAGCAATGAAGACCCAGCACAGCAAAAAGTAAATACTTAATTTTCTAAAACAGGGTTTTGAATAACAAACGCACTCCAGTGAGAGTTGAAGAGGCTACTCAGAGTCCACCATATTTATGCACATGTTTAAGAAAACGCTGCCGTGCTCGCTTCGGCAGCACATATACTAAAATTGGAACGATACAGAGAAGATTAGCATGGCCCCTGTGCATGGATGACACGCAAATTCGTGAAGCGTTCCATATTTAAAAAAAAAAAAGAAAATGCTGCCTGTTCATTATTGCTCTGTTCAGTAATAACTATCCATTTAGATCCTAATTGCTAGCAGCATGACAATTTTCCAAATTAAAGAACTATGTCTGTGAATATGCAGTTTTTTGAAACTTGGACATGGCCAGGCCTTTCCCAGAAATATTCCCATGTATTTTATCTGAGCGTCATTTTATCTTCAAATACTTGGTACTAGATAATGATCAGAGCAACAAGCATTCCAGGTTAGTTAGAATACATTATAATGTTCTATCACCATGACTGCAGCACTCATAGCAACGATTGCATCTCCTTGCAAAAAATGTATTGAGGTCATAACATGTGCTAAGAACTTTTCACACAGATATCATTTAATTCCATTATAGATTTAATCCCTAATTTGAAGGTGCTAAAACTGTAGTTCAGAGAAGTTCAGAACCTTCTTCACACACTGAGAAAGTGGCCAGAAGAATACAAACTCATCTTCCTCTCTCCAAAGCCATTGCTACCAACTACCAGAATCAATCACTTCCAACTTCCTCTCTGACTGTGTAAAGCCAGTGAGAACGAGCATTCAAACTAGTTACCTGATATCCTAGGGACAAAAAAAAGTTCAATGGAATGAATGAATTTTTGCTCCTCAGGGAGTATGTACGAAAATCCACATTTCAATGCACGACTCAATGAGTTGGTACGTTTGATTTCCAATTTCTATTCCTTTGCTTTGCTTGTGGATGAGCACTTGATGAGGGGATTTTAAACATCAGGTGTAAAGGATGAAGTGGAACAGGAGAAAACAATCAGAAACCACTGCATTAAAAAGTAGGACTGCTACATGGTAAAGGAGGTAGCTGAACCATGACACTTGGGTAATAGACCTTTTAGCTCCGCGCCGCTAGTTACTAAAGATATGGTTGAATAAATGATGTATACATATGACAAAGAATTAATATCCATGTACCATGGTTTCTGAAAATAAGAATTTTTTCCAGCTGTGAATATGGTTCTTTGACAAGTGACTTATAGACCTTTAAAAAAAATGAAGTGGCCATACATTTAGATGTTGATTTCATTCATCACCATTTTATATAAATTTTTTCCCAGAAATCACAGGCTAAAAAACACATAATTTCATGGCATCTGTGTTTTCCTATCATATTTTTTTTCTGTGAAAACAACTGTCTTTTATTCTCCTGTAGAATATAATATTAGCACTTTATTTTTACATGAGGTTTTAAAAAATATGCTATTATAGTTCTTGAAATGTGTAGCTCATTGATAGCATAGAGGAAGTGCTTTAACAGCTAAATTCCTTGAGGAGTAAACGTGTACAAAGGTCTCGTAGCTGCAACGTGAGATAAATAATAAAAGCCATAATATTTGAAAACATTTAGAATTCAGGCTGCAAGGTAAATCAGAGAGTGAGGGGGCAATATCTCCAGATACTTACTGTCTGGAAAGTTATTAAACGTTTAGAGCAGCAGATGAAGTAGTATGTATAAAACAAAAAACACTGGACAGGTCTAAAGAAAACAAAATCAAGGATCCAAGATATTTTTTGAGAAAGAGTAACAATAAATAAGGAAGAGTAACTTTTTAAAGACATCATTAAGGACTGCCTATCACGCATATGAACAGAAAGACTTAAAGCCATCCACAGGGTAGGACCACCCACAGAAGAGCATAAGTTTAGTTTTAAAATGACCAGGAAAGGTTAATGAGATAGTAACATACAACATGCTTTGTCAAGAATCCACAGAGGAGCAGAAGAAAAGTAAAGTGGAAAAATGGTACAGTGAACCATGTAAGTAATGTAC